ATAGCATTTTATTTTAATCGATGATGCCAGTGTGTTCCTGGATATTATCTCAATCCTTATTTATATAGCCATTGTGTTTTGGAAATGAAGGTCCTAATTTGAATGTCTGGTAACGTCTGGGACAGAATCCCTCCCATTTTAAACCCAACAGAAAAAAAAAAAGATAGAGAGAGAGAGTACTCTGTATGCGTTATGTCCACATTGACGTGTCAAGTGTTAGATTAACTGCCCTCTCAAGCTCCTTTTATTTCCCTGTTCCAAGGCAACGCTCATTTACATAAACAGATAATCCCTGATAAAAAATTCCATTAGACAAAGGTGAAATGGATCAATTTTGTCTGCCAAGATAAATCTTACATTTTACACCGACAGGGTCATTACCCAGGCCACATTTCAGAAATAATGTATTTAAAAATCAGCCGATAGCAGCCATTTCCAGGTTTCCAATTACCTTTAAGAAAAGCTTATTCTGTGGACAATAAAGCACATTACGGCACAATATGATACAGTCCATAAAGATCACACTGTTTGATGAGAGGTGAGAGACAGCTCAGCATATTTAGGGGGAATGTCACAACCCCGCGTTCCCACAGACGGCACTCTGCAGGTGCCAGGCAAATGTTCTATTACCCCAGTCCAAATAGATTAACAGTCCTGTTAAAAAATAAACAGTATTTTTCCTCCGTTTTCTTCCGCCTACACCCCTCTGTCCTTCTCGGCTGATGAAAGGTGGTAGATTGACAGGGGGTTGCAAGGTGATGCCACCAGCACTGGAGAGAAAGAGAGAATGAAAATCTCATTAGTCTCTCCTTCCACCCCAATTCCCAGACCCCCCTAACTGACCTTGAGACACCCCCCACCTACCCAGCCATCCCTCCCCTCCCCGGTTGAGGTGAATCCCTCGCGTCGCCTTGGGTCTTCTCGGAGCTCGGAGCGCTGCTGCCGCTGAGGTCAGACGCTGGCGCTGCTGAATTAGTGCCAATCCCGCAAACAAGCCTAGGCGTGAGGTAGTCCTGTGGCGGGAGGAGAAACAGGGCCGTGGAGGGCAGACGGCCCTCCTTCTCCTCAAACGTACTGTCTCTTGCTCTACCCTCCATATCAGGGAAAAGCAGCAGGTCCTAGACAGTCCACCTCAATCACGGCCGTCCACGTGCAAGGATGCATCAACAACATCAGCGTAATTCGGTCGCTCAAGAGAAGGCTGTAATTTTCATTGGCATCTGTGTTAGATGGAGTTATCGTCAACAAACGAAAAAAGAATCATCATTTATGCCCCGCGATGGGAGAAATCCATTACTGGGTTTTTTTTGTTTTTTTTTTTGCTAATGCTAATCTTTGCAATGAAATGGCCCCTAGAATTAAACAATAATCCATTTGTATAGTGCTGGTGGCCAGAATGACTAAACACTTTTCACATTTCTATGATAAGGGTCAAAGCTCTCTAATAAGAAATGTATTTCTATTCATAAATGCCTGAAAATGTGTTTGACAATTGACGCTCGTTGCATTAAGCTTGTCTGAGCTATATTAGGCTATTTGTTTTATACAAACTAATTAATAGGCCTACATTTACATTTAATTGCAGATTCCCTATAGTGTTTGATAATGTTTCCAAGGGACTGTGATTGATTGTATGAAATATTCTATTTAAAAGTAAAGGAAAGTTTTTAGGCCATGTCTAAAATACCATAGATGAGCGGTGACGGTAAATGAGTTACCACAGTACCATCTAGTGGATATTCTTAGATCTACAGATCCACAGTTATGACTACGGCACACCAGAACCGTCATGTCTTTTTTTTTTTTTTTCTTTTTCTTTTTGTTTTTTTTTTAAATCACTGTTTTTGCAGTATTGTGTAAATTTAATTGAATAAAATTGTATGAAATAATTCAATTTGAAGTGATTAAAATATTAAATTATTAACGTCAGCACTTCATTTAGACTTGTAGCCTATGCTTTTAGTTTTTAACGAAGGCTAATAACTGTTCGAAATGTAGTATATATTCTCCATGAATTTATTTGACAATTATAAAATGTATGGTAGCCTACAATGAATGTAGATTATGCATTTTTGTAAAAACTGTTGTGTAGCAGAAAATAGATACAGGGTGACATCTACAGGAGGAAATTTAACTCAGTATAGCCTATTCTCTTTGCAAATTCTAGCATTTACGGTAAAATACCCACTTTAATAATTTAAAATGTTCATGCAAAGGAATTCAACATTTGTTGAGGAGCGTTTTCTTTTTTAAATGATTGAAAATCATATTGTTCTATAATGTGATGTTTTTTTTTTTTTTTTTTTTCTTTCAGTATATCATATCATGGTCCATCTCAAAATACACTCCTAATAATAAATGTTAACTTTATTGGTGAACCAATTCCCCCTCAAAAGCTGGTCTTTAAATCCCTGAATATTCTATTTATTTTACATTTTACATCATCAAAGAAAGAAGGGCTTTGTATTGGCAATATGTAATAATAATAATATTTATAACGAAGTGTGTATTTGGCATTGTTAGAGGGGTTAAAAAAAATACGAATAATAAGTACCCGCAGTGCCATAAAGCTTAGCATGTCGGCTTGAGTCCCATTATAGCCAGGCTTAAGATTTTCCCCATAAATGAGGATTTAGAGTACTTTATGCTGACAGAAAAAGTGACACACAGAAGACAGTCATTAATATCACAAGATATTAATCTCGTTCCATCAAATGCTAAATGCAGAAGAACAATTGTATTGTCTGACCTAATCTCTTGCTTATTTTGGAAATTGTTTTCCCTTTCTTTTGGCCTCTAGGGAATTAAAGTCTTGGGGCCAGATGTACGTCTTATTGAAGAGATAATTGTAAGTGAAAAAAGAGGATGCCTTTATATTAAAGCTCAATTCCTCCCAATATTGTTATGCAGATGGAACTTTCTCTAAGCTAAAATCTCATTGCCTAACTGAACTTCTGTGAAGCAGGATAAAAACGATGAACACAATAAAAGAGTGCATGTACATACAGTCCAAATGTATTTCATGAGGTAACATGCAATTAACTGGTTTTGATAAAGTCATTGGGTTATAGGCTACATATTGCAATAGCTATAAATTATGCATAATTACATGAAACTATTATTCCAACCCCTTGCCCTTTAGAATGTACAGTAAATTATTATTACTCAGAATTTAAATGTATAATTACATTGTAGCAGACATATTAATGTGTACCCAATTGATGCTTTTAGCTAACAACCACAATGCAAGTCATTGTATTTGAACTAGACATGGGCCTCTTTTTGGTTTTATTTAATGAAATGATGACTATTTCTCTTCCACGATTCACACGCATACAAGTGAATAGTAGGTGCAATATAGTAGGAGGATAGGTAAAAAAGGGGCTACAAAAATTGAATTAGTCTAGTTATTCCTTTGAGGAAAAGCGTGCCAAGTGACATTTGAAACTGCATGTGGTCTTGTTTTTTGCTCAAAAACACTGCCTGTGCCATTATGCATCAAGGCCGGTGCAGTGGCTGCTTGACTTCCCACTGTTCAGGAACCGGCGGCAAAGGCCTCGTCAGATGGCTCCAGAGCTCTCTCAAAGTGTCAGCTCCCCAAAATAGTCTTGTGACCAGACTACAGACACCAAACAAACAAAGGCACTCTGATCGTGTAAGTATCAGTCTGAGCGCTCCCGAAGCCTCCCTCCGTCCCCCGATTCGTGTTAATCAGTCTCCAGGGAGCGGGATCGGACACGACACACATCCTATTGGAGCAAAGTGTGGTGTCTCCCGCCTGCGAGCTGGACTTCGGTGCAGGTTGCGGTGGAAACGTTGATGTGCACCCTCTGTGTGGACGGCAAGGACAGAGGCACGGCGGCAGCAGATGTCTCGTGGCGGAGATTATAAATAAAAGCGATCAGAGCAGGGGAGCACTGACGGGCCTTAGCGAGGCCGCTGTCACGGTGGCAATGTCTTTTACTCGCTGGATAGTTTCTCAGCAAGACACTTGGCCAACCTCTTCTAACAATGACTGTGTCCTTGTTATTGGACTTGATGCCTGCTCTTGGTTGGGGGCAATATCATGGGCACCAGTGGAGAACCGTGTGTGGCGGCTGGCTTGCAACGAGAAACGAGGTTGAGAGGGCGAATCGTAATGGAAAAATGATTGAGTGTAGAGAGGTTGAAAAAGGTACAGCTTTATGTAGAGTTTTGGTGTCTCTTCAGTGCCAGTAAAGTCAATTATAAATCCAGTCAGTAAGGTCAAAACAGATATGCAACCTGTTTTTAAGATCAAATCAGACACTTCTAAATGTCTTCTCCATTATGTCTTCTCCAACGGAAGTATCTCGTTGTTGTCCCATTCAAGACGTTTTTGTAGGCATTCCTGATTTTCAAAAGACAATATCTCTGCTTACATTGAACTTTCAGCGCAGCAACTTTGCAGATACTGTTGCACCAACAGCAAATTACACACTATTTTAACCACAGCAATTAACCACTCCTTACAACTCAAACATGCATTTTAGTTTGGGACATTTCTGTTCTCACAGACAAGAAATTAAAATTTTAAAAGTTGATTAAAATGTTTAAATTATTATTTGACATAAAAAAATAAGAAATTATGACATAGGAAATTCATAATTACAACACACACACACACACATCATAATTATTATGAAAGGCCACGACAAATCTAAGTAGAAATCATGCTCTATTGCTGACAGGGTGGATTTGCTGCAGTAAGGCAAATTGTCTTGGCAGTGCTGTTGACAGCCTTTTTAGAGTGAAGCTGCTGAAAGGTGAATTAGGAGTGCTAATGAAGAACACACTCCCACTTGAGGAGGTAATTATCTTGGGTGTAATGGCTGAGGGAAGATTTAGTGTGATTCTAACCCCAGAGGAGTATCACACAAGATTACACCTGAGATGTATGAAAAGAGAAAGTCTTCTTCAAAACGTGTTGACAGCAGTCTGCCACCTACAGGTCTCAATTCAGTCGATTAAATATGAATTGTGGTGGCTGGTATTTTCAGTGGATAAACACTTCCACATTCAGCAGGAAGGAATCATTTCGGAAGATACAATTCAATTAATAGAGAATTGAACAAAAGAGAACAAATAATAGAGTGTGACAAGCTTTCTTGGATAAGGTCAAATATGAAAAAAAATACATTGAAATATAAATTATTATAAAATATTATTATATTGATTGTGAGATCATTAAAATGATAATTGGATAGAAGACGGATTTATGCTTGAGGTTACATGTGACATGAAATAATCTCTTTATTAGCCTGTTAGCAGCTACTGCAGTAATAGGCTACTTCCTGCTGCTCTCAATGGGCTAACATGAGTCTGAACATTGGATATTAAAGTTATGCGTAAGCATTATATACACAAACGCGGATTCTTCGATGCAGATATTTATCCGACCCATGGTAAGTTTAGGGTTAAGCGAACACTTTAATCCGTTTCTCAAATAAATCCACTGTACAGTAGATGTGATTAGCATGTAACGTTAGCCGTTTACCTAGACAGTGTAGGCGAATTTGATAGCTAATTTAGTGATAAAGGTAATTATGGCTAGTTAGGTATTGATTTTATGCAAATAAATAATTTGATAGCTCAGCAGGTTTATACGCTGTTTGTATTTGTAAGTATTTTGCCATAGCGTTGGCAACTTGTTTGACAGACAGGGACATGACGTCTGTTTCTGATGCTCATTTTGCTTCGTTTCATGTTATTTCACAATAGTTTTCGTTCTAAATAAGGTGTGAAATTCGTATTTTATACAAAATACGGCCCTGATACTTTTCTTTTTTCCGAACAGTGTATCCACGAACACGAGCATTACTCACACAGGACAAAACCCCACATCACTACAATGTTCTTCTTTTCTCTGACAAATGTACTATTCCATCACATTCTATTTTGCCAGTGCAGTATTATTTTAATATGTATTTAGAAAATATTTAGATTTGTTCAGTTTTATACATCGTTGCGTTTTTAGTGCTATATTGTTTACATTTTAATACTTTTGTTTTGTGCTTTTGTCATTTTTTAAACTTTTACTTTATTTCAATTCCAGTTTTTTTCGCTTAATTTTTTAAATTTTTTCTACTTCAGCTTATTTTATTTCAGTTAGTTGCAAAGGCAGCATTTCAAATATAAAATTTCATATATGGCTTTATTTCAATTAAAGCTGTATTCCGTAGCTTTTTTGGGGTTAAAAATTATCCAAAATATATATTTGAGAAAATACATAACCAGCCAGTATCTGCTTGTAATAATGTTTTTAACAGTGGTACTGGTGGATTTCCGTGGGAGATTCGATCATGTCTTTCTGTCATTATGTCACATAAAGGAGTCTCGGCCAATATTAGCTATATTGCGAGTGAGGATGCTGGAGGTGGAGATTTATAGCCTTTTCTCACAGCACTAGATAAAATTAAACTTATCAATTTGATCGCAGATCCAGAAAGATTAAAACGACAATCACCAGTGACAACAGATTCACCCGCTGTAAAATGCAAAAGACTTTGTTCGGACTTCGGAGTGGCTTCAGAAAAAAAAAGAGACTGCAACCGGACCCATGAGAAAACAATGTAGTCACGCAATGCTGATGTTGTTAACATTAACAATTTGTGAAAAAAGTACCCTATAATTTGCATGGTTTTGCGCAATAAGCTATTTTTACATTTAATCAGCGTGATTTACTGCAATGTCAGAATGTAATGTTACTTGTTCAGATGAGATATTCCAGTGAAAATTATTATGTTGGTCATACTTCCAAAAAGAATAAACTGTGAGTTCTGAATGCCAGTATCGACACCAGTGCGGTGACTGACAGCTGCACACTCTCATTATCAAACATTGTGTTCATCCATGCTGTGCCGTGTCGAAGTGCAACTCGCTCAAAGTTACTTGGCGACAAAGAGGAAAAACTGCACACAGCTGCTACACAGCTGTCCATTTTTTGTCAACATTGTCAGATATTTATGGAAACATATCCTTTAAATTGTGTGTGTCTGACTGTAGGACTTTGAGGGTGAGACTGGATGACATTATCATCATGCCGTCAGCGAAGGTGCTGAAGAATGCCCAGTACATTGAATTGGGCAGTTACCAGTACTGGCCTGTTCTGGTGCCCAGAGGAATCCGCCTGTACACTTACGAGCAGGTGCCGGGATTCCTACGGGAAAATCCTTACATCACCGATGGCTACAGAGCCTATCTGACCTCTAGACTGTGCATTAAAAGGTGTGTCTTGTAACCACTGTGTATTTATGCAGAGTGTGTTTTTTCAATTGCAATATTTTTTTGCATAATTCTAATGACATAATTATGTAATATAGATGTATTGCTCATCCTTTTGAGAGAATAACATGAGCTTAGCTATTGGAAGAAATGGTGATGTAGACGCCTGTTATCTCTGTTTTGTAGCCTTTTCATTCTGTCCAATGAGACGGTAAACATCTGGAGTCATCTGTTGGGGTTCTTCCTGTTCTTCACGCTGGGGGTTTATGACTTGTTGGCGGTGTTGCCGATGTTAGGAGCTTCCAGAGAAGACTATGTCATATACTCCATAGGTCTCTTCTGCTTCCAGGTATGTCCTTGCTGCTTACCTAAACAGTACAGAGGTGAATTTAATAGTCTCTGTATACACTTGAATAGTTAAAACAGTAGTTAGCGCTGGATAAAGTGTTTCTGTTTTTTGGCATGACAAACAAATTATCTCTAACCATGGTTGCTTGCTTGGATCAGTTCCATCCGTTTCAATAAAAACTGATCTTAGATCAGCACTTTCAATCAAAAAGTCTTCATATGATCCTTGGACCAGGCTTTCCACATTCTCTGTTGCCAGGGATTAGAGTTAAAACTTATGATTTTATCACCTAAACTCAGTCCCGCCTAATTCTAGATCCGTTATCGGCTGCTCTCGTACCATCGTAATAGACAGAAATGGCAGATTCTATCCTTGGCAGCTATTCTCTAAAGCATCAGGATTAGGCAAAGTGCCTCTACACCACCCTTGCATATTCTCTCTTGAAGACATAATTATAGCATCTTTGTTTGGCTGTATAGGTTCATCATGTGAGTTTGAGCTTTTGCATTGTGAAAACTTTGCATATATGGCCTATAAAACCATCTGTATCTGAACACTTCACATCTTCTGCTTAGGTGTGCATGCTGTGTTCTGTGGGCTTTCACCTATTCTGCAGCCACCGATCCGAAAAAAACAGCCGCCGATGGATGGCACTTGACTACGCCGGGATCTCCATCGGAATCATAGGCTGTTACATTCCAGGAGTGTTCTATGCATTCTACTGCAATAACGTATGTGCAGGGGCCTGATCATTCACTTAATTTCTCTCTGGTAAATAATAGGTTACAATACAATCAGTTAAAAAAAAGTTTAGGAACACGGAAAATTAAGTTTACCCTGGCCTTAAGAAATCCAGTCAGAATACTAAATAAGTGAGTGTAATAGAATTTTTTAGGATGCATTTCTGCGTTGTCTAATAATGCTATAGGCTTGTGATTCTGTTGCCCGCTTAGAAAGCCAAGTTCACGCTACAGGATTTTAAGCCCGATTTGCAAATCGTTGAGCTTGCCGACAGGTCAGGGTGTTATCGCGTGCAAATCACGGGGGATTAGCGGGCGATGAACGTTTGCCAATCTTTTAGTATGAAAGAGCCAACAACACATCGAAGACGTTCGCAGACGCATCGCCGAGCCCCAAAAAAATATCTAGCATGCTAGATATCCAGAGCCGTCGTGCGACTCAACCTCAGTGATGCCATGAGCTATAGCCAATCATCAGACTGATCTCATGAAGTAGCGTGTGTATGACACGCCAATTCGTATTTCCATTTTTGGCGTGCTATTTGGAGTACTATGGATTTAGACCATACCATAGTACTGAAACAGCTCTCATTAAGTCACAAATGATTTGCTCTTATCATCCGATCATGGTTGTATCTCTATATAGTGCGTTTTGTCAACTCGTGTAGTGCGTTACCGTTACTTCCTGTTGTGGATCAATCACGTTGTGTTGTGTGGTGTGCACAGCAAGTCATGTAATGTGAACCGCACAGTTCAGCCCGACGTTTTAAAATCATGTAGTGTGAACAAGGCTTTAGTGCTTACTAATGAAAAAGTAATTGTTTTCTAGCCATTGTTTGTGTATTGTGTATGGTCATTGGTCAGTGTCTATGTTAGTGCAATTAGTCAAGACAAATTTCCCTTTGGGCAAAATAAAGTGTACTGAAGTGAACTAAACCATTCTGGCTTGGGGAGGTGAAAGTGGCACTGGAGGTAGGCTTCCTATAACTTCATAAATGAAGTAATATGTGTTTATTGGTGGAGTCGGATCCAAGTAGGACACATAGGGTTCAATAAGAATGGCATGAAGAGTCTCTACACTGTGCGATCGACGGTCATGGCCAATGTGGACAAGGGTAGATTAATTAGGTGGCTTGAGGTATATCGTCCCACTGTGGTCTCTAGCAGATGGTTGGCCTGCTTTTTTTTGTGGGCATATGTTACCTGTGCAACAGATACAGGGCAAGAGTTCACCTATTCCTGGGGAAAGCAGTCTGGTGTGTGTGTGCGTTGTAAATCCTACTACATGGAGAGACTGTTTATATGTTTAGTAAAGACCATTATTCTATTGGAGTTAACATTTATTCCTTTAGCTGATGCTTTTATATAAAGTGACTGAAAATAGTCACTCACCTGAAAAGGATCCTTGTCATCATTTACTCACCTCCATGCCGTTCTAAACATATGACTTTCTCTTTTCTTCAAAAGAAGATATTTTAAAGAAGATTGGAATTCAAACAACATGAGACCCCACTGACTTTTATTATAGAAAACAAAAACATTTTTCAAAATATCTTCTTTTGTGTTGCACAGAAGAGATTTGGAACAACATGAGGGTGAGTAAATGAACTACTCCTTTAACCCATTCAGACCCTGTGTCCATTACAATGGACATCACATGTCAGCCCCCTTTTTTAACTTCTGGAGCATTTCACCTAGTTTAAAGCCTGCAGTCCATGAGATTGGACGTTTGTCATCCAATCAAGTAAAGCTTGCCAGTAAAGCTCTGCATGTAGTAATTATATAAAAAAAAAACTCTACATTGTAGAGTTCTCTCTACACTCTACACTCTATATACATATATATATCACAGTACCGATACATTTTTGAAACTTTTTCATGTGCAGAATATACAGTTCTGAAGTGCTTGAACATATAGCTGATGAAAATATCTCAGATGTTGACTTTATGTGGAGTAATGAGGAAGATGGAGATGTAAGAAAAATATCCATATTTAAAACTTTATAAAGTTAAATAACTTCCGGCTAAAAGAACATATTTGACTTAAATCTAAAGCGCAACTTAAATATGAATATTTTAAATATTTTATATTAATATATATATTTTATGGATAGATGTACTTTTATGATGGATAGATGCACTTTTATCATGGATAGATGCACTTTTATGATGGAGAGATGCGCTTGTATCATGGATAGATGCACTTTTATGGACTTTCAAAACAGAAACAACCATTTACAGCCAATATAAAGCTTGGAAGGGCCAGGACATTGTTTAATATTACTCTGATTGTTTTCGTCTGAGAGAAGAATGTCATATACACCAGGGATGGCTAGAGGCCAGGGTGATTAAATCATGGGCTAATTTAAATTTTTGTGTGAACTATGCCTTTTAAACTATGCCTATATGCCTATAGTTCAACCACAAATTGTATTTGTCATCAGTTACTCACCCTTATGTTGTTCCAAACATGTATGAGTTTCATACCATTTTTATGTTGGACACCATCCCGCCTGCAATCTATTGAATGGTGTTTCGGGAAGTATATTTGATAGACATTTTAACTGAAGTTCCTGTCGTGATAAAAACTGTTTTACTGCACTCAGCAGGCCTAAAATTCCACCGTCCGCAAACCCACTATTTTTATAATGGCATAAATGCTATGTGGGATCTCAATATCTCAGCTCAGGAAGGGTGTAGAGTCTCCATTTTTGCACTCAGGTCTAAAGCCCCGTTCACACCGCCAGCGATTTTGTCGCTTTGTGTCGCTAGTCTCTGTACTGTGATGTCGCTTGTTGACGTTCGTAGTGCTGTCGCTCTGATGTTATTGGTAGACTGCACGTCTGGCCATATCTATACAAAAGACCATCACAACTGATATATACAACTATATAATTTTAATTTGACTGGGAATAAATTACTTTTAAGGCTAAAAAGAAACCGTATGCTGTTGGGAGAGTGTTTTTATATTACCACAGCAGTGTTCAGTGGATTAAATAATTTACTAGAATAGATCAACGATCGATTAGTCAACAAATTAAACTCACTCATGCTGGCACAAATTATGAAAACGTCATTCGAATTTGACAAATAATCAATTTTCTTGTCCCTAATAGTCAACTTAATGCAGGGGAAATTGTAAAATGAACTGCAGCAGTGCTAAACATGCATCATAAAATTAAAACACTCGAACTATAATGTTAAATGTATGAATTAAACAGTTTCAGTTTAAACAGTTTGACAGTTTCTTTTCCATGCATCATTTTATTATCCATGTATGTGGTTACAGTCAAATCATATAAAACAGTGAAATCGTCCTCGTACTCTTTCTTTCTGTCTTGCCTGGACTCGAGACGGTGACGTGAGCTCCACTGAAAGTCTTCTTTCCTATTGGTTGTCGCTCGTGAAAAGTTTACTTTCTCATTTGAGAAAGTTCTCATTTGCTTCTCATTTGCATAAAGTTGAAAATTCTCAACTGTTGTTGCTTGTCTCTTGTCGCTTGACACACCCACATTCTGTCGCCAACGGTCACTGTCGCTCATGTCGCCGGATGTCGCCAGCGCTCCATTGAAATGAATGGGATCTTGTCGCTTTGCCGCTGCGTGTTGCTGGCGGTGTGAACGGGGCTTAAGTCTCACAGCCTTCTATCAGAATCCAGAGTTTCAAGAAGAACTTTTTTTTTGCACCGAAAAAGTCGACAGGGGTACCCCTTTGGTTTTTTTGGGGGCGAAATTTTGAGTTTTTCCAATCTTCTCGAAACTCTGGATTCTGGTAGAGGGCCATGGGACTTAGTCCCATGTGGCTCTATCTGTATAAAAATAGTGGGTTATTGGACAAATAGTGGGTCTGTGGACACGTGGTTTTTAAGCTTAGCTTTCAAAATTTTGGGATGAAAACTATTTTACTGCACTCAGGGAGGCCCCCTGAGTCTGTGGTACCAAGGGCCGTCCCGAAATTCCACCATCCGCGAACCCACTATTTTTATAATGGGATAAATGCTACGTAGGATCTCAATATCTCAGCTCTGGAAGGGTCGTTTTTTTTTTTCGGGTCAAAATTTTTAATTTCGATATCTCAGCTCTGGAAGGGTCTAGATCCTCCATTTTTGCACTCAGGTCAAAGTCTCACAGCCCTCTATCATAATCCAGAGTTTTGAGAAGATTGGAGAAACTTAATTTTTCGCCCGAAAAAAAAAAAAACGAAAGGGGTACCACTGTCGTTTTTTTTTCGGGTCGAATTTTTGAGTTTCGATATCTCAGCTCTGGAAGGGTCTAGAGCCTCCATTTTTGCACTCAGGTCAAAGTCTCATGGCCCTCTATCATAATCCAGAGTTTTGAGAAGATTGGAGAAACTTAATTTTTCGCCCGAAAAAAAAAAAACGAAAGGGGTAACACTGTCGTTTTTTTTTTTCGGGTCGAAATTTTGAATTTCGATATCTCAGCTCTGGAAGGGTCTAGAGCCTCCATTTTTTCACTCAGGTCAAAGTCTCACAGCCCTCTATCAGAATCCAGAGTTTTGAGAAGATTGGAGAAACTTAATTTTTCGCCCGAAAAACGAAAAAAAACGAAAGGGGTAACACTGTCGTTTTTTTTTTCGGGTCGAAATTTTGAATTTCGATATCTCAGCTCTGGAAGGGTCTAGAGCCTCCATTTTTGCACTCAGGTCAAAGTCTCATGGCCCTCTATCAGAATCCAGAGTTTGAGAAGATTGGAGAAACTTAATTTTTCGCCCGAAAAAAAAAAAAAACGAAAGGGTAACACTGTCGTTTTTTTTTTTCGGGTCGAAATTTTTGAATTTCGATATCTCAGCTCTGGAAGGGTCTAGAGCCTCCATTTTTGCACTCAGGTCAAAGTCTCACAGCCCTCTATCATAATCCAGAGTTTTGAGAAGATTGGAGAAACTTAATTTTTCGCCCGAAAACGAAAAAAAACGAAAGGGGTAACACTGTCGTTTTTTTTTCGGGTCGAAATTTTTGAATTTCGATATCTCAGCTCTGGAAGGGTCTAGAGCCTCCATTTTTGCACTCAGGTCAAAGTCTCATGGCCCTCTATCAGAATCCAGAGTTTTGAGAAGATTGGAGAAACTTAATTTTTCGCCCAAAAATGAAAAAAAACGAAAGGGGTAACACTGTCGTTTTTTTTTCGGGTCGAAATTTTGAATTTCGATATCTCAGCTCTGGAAGGGTCTAGAGCCTCCTTTTTTGCACTCAGGTCAAAGTCTCACACCCCTCTATCAGAATCCAGAGTTTTGAGAAGATTGGAGAAACTTAATTTTTCGCCCGAAAACGAAAAAAAACGAAAGGGGTAACACTGTCGTTTTTTTTTCGGGTCGAAATTTTGAATTTCGATATCTCAGCTCTGGAAGGGTTTTTGCACTCAGGTCAAAGTCTCGTGGCCCTCTATCATAATCCAGAGTTTTGAGAAGATTGGAGAAACTTAATTTTTCGCCTGAAAATGAAAAAAACGAAAAGGGTAACACTGTCGTTTTTTTTTCGGGTCGAAATTTTGAATTTCGATATCTCAGCTCTGGAAGGGTCTAGATCCTCCATTTTTGCACTCAGGTCAAAGTCTCAGCCCTCTATCAGAATCCAGAGTTTTGAGAAGATTGGAGAAACTTAATTTTTCGCCCGAAAATGAAAAAAAAACGAAAGGGGTAACACTGTCGTTTTTTTTTTCGGGTCGAAATTTTGAATTTCGATATCTCAGCTCTGGAAGGGTCTAGAGCCTCCATTTTTGCACTCAGGTCAAAGTCTCGTGGCCCTCTATCATAATCCAGAGTTTTGAGAAGATTGGAGAAACTTAATTTTTCGCCCAAAATGAAAAAAAACGAAAGGGGTAACACTGTCGTTTTTTTTTCGGGTCGAAATTTTGAATTTCGATATCTCAGCTCTGGAAGGGTCTAGAGCCTCCATTTTTGCACTCAGGTCAAAGTCTCATGGCCCTCTATCAGAATCCAGAGTTTTGAGAAGATTGGAGAAACTTAATTTTTCGCCCAAAATGAAAAAAAAACGAAAGGGGTAACACTGTCGTTTTTTTTTTCGGGTCGAAATTTTGAATTTCGATATCTCAGCTCTGGAAGGGTCTAGAGCCTCCATTTTTGCACTCAGGTCAAAGTCTCATGGCCCTCTATCATAATCCAGAGTTTTGAGAAGATTGGAGAAACTTAATTTTTCGCCCGAAAACGAAAAAAAACGAAAGGGGTAACACTGTCGTTTTTTTTTTCGGGTCGAAATTTTGAATTTCGATATCTCAGCTCTGGAAGGGTCTAGAGCCTCCATTTTTGCACTCAGGTCAAAGTCTCATGGCCCTCTATCAGAATCCAGAGTTT